CCTCGCGGGCCCAAGCCGGGCGGGGCTGGCCGCTACTCGGTCTGCGCCTGCGCCCACACTCGCGCCTGCGCGCTGTGGCCCGGGCCGGGCTGGGGCCCGCACCTGCGTGCTGGGGTTCGGGGCGTGCGGCATCCGTGCCTGCGCGCTGAGGTTCAGATCGTGCGGCCTCCGCGCCTGCGCGCTTGGGGTTCGGACCGTGAGGCGCCGCGCCTGCGCCCTGGGGACCGGACCGAGTGGGCGGCCTGGCAGGGAACGCTCCTTCCGGAATGAATCGACGTAGCCTTCCCGTTTTCACAAATATCCTCTCATTGTAAAAAGGCGTTCTGGAGGAGCAGCCGAGGCTCCGACCCCTGATCTCTAACCCCGGACACCCATTGATTGCTACGCCTTTACAGAAGACAGACCCCAGAGTTGCGTTCTGGGGTGGTGTTCCTGCCAGAGGGGGCCCGCGGGCGGGAGGTAGTGCCCAGCTGGCAGTACCTGGCTGGCAGGGGTGCTCTGGTTAGAAGGGGTGTGCGCTGTTTAGGGGTGGTGCCTGGCTGGGGAGGGTACCGCGGTTGGTGGGTATGCCCTGGTTAGGAAGGGTGCCCCGTTTGGGGGGTGCTGTGGTTGCGGTGTGGCTGGGGGGTTCCCCGGCTGGACGACCTGCCTGGTCACCCTCAGGTCCCTTCTTGCGCGCTGTCTGCGAGGCCACCGCCTGGGACCCTCCCTGCCCCGTGCCTGCTGGCAGCTAGGGTACACAGAGGAAGGGCCTTTCCTGCACCAAGCAGCCTTAACTGGACTGCGGCCCCAGTGCCACATAAACTGCCTTGGGCTACCCGCTCACCAGCGCCAGCTGAGTTGTCCTGTCTGGAGTTGAGAAAGGAAGTACGGCTGAAATTGGGGTTCTCTGGCCAGTCGCTGCAGGGGTTTAAGGAGTGGATACTGCACTGAAGAAAACAGAGGCCCTAAGGGCCCGCCCCATGAGGGGTTCAGTCTCATGGGAAGATGGGACTCTTGGAAAATTATTCTGCCAAGTCTGGCAGTAACAGTACACACAGGTACAGAGGAGGGAATGGACAACCCTAAGTGCCCAGGAAACCTACTCGAGTTTCTTTGAGGCAGCTAGACTGCCCTGTCACAACCTCGGTCAGCCCATGACGGGCTGGGGTCCCCAAGTCCTCCAGGCACGGGACAGACTCCTGGCCCCAGCCTTAACCAGAGGCCCAGGAGCAACAGTCCTCGGTGGCCTGCGTGGCAGAACCTGACCCACCTTCCTCTCTGGCACCATCCTCCCCACTCCTGCTTTGGGACTCCCTGGGTCTTCTCCCTGGAATGATTTTATCTCAGGTATCTGCACGGCTCCTTAGGTCTTCCTGTCACCATTTCAGGGAAGACTTCCCTTGCATCCCTGTCTAGAATTGCTCGTGCACCCCAGAATTCCCTCATTGCTCTTCCTTGCTTGATTTTGTTTCATACCACTTTAGATGGCATCTGACCATCTGACATCCTTGTTTATCTGGCTTCTTGTCTGTTTCCCCTGCTCGAATGTAAGTCCCGGAAGTCAGGGATTTTTGTTTTGTTGCACCCTCGTGCCTAGAACAGTGCCTGGCATACAGAAGACAAAATACTTGTTTCATGAGTCAGTTATAATGGAGAAAAATCCTTTACCAAGCAAATAGTCATCCATCAGTGTCCAAGGGGGATTGGTTCCAGGATTCCTCCTCCCTGCCCCCGAATACCAACATCTGTGGATGCTCAAGTCCCTTATACAAAATGGAGTTGTATCTGCCTATAACCTACATACACCCTTAAATCATCTCTAGGTAACGTACACCTAATGCAATGTAAATGCTGTGTAACAGTTGTATTGTTTAGGGAGTAACGATAAGACACGAGGCAAACGGTGCTCACACAAGTGCTGGAGAGAGACGGGATCTGTGAGACGGTGGGAGGCTACACTGGGGTGTGCCTCCACATCACTTCATTCGCGTGGATTCAGCATAGTGCTCGGTGCACGGCAAATTCAAATTTTGCTTTTTGGGACTTTTGTTTTCCCCCCAAATATTTTCAGTCTGCAGTTGGTTGAATTCCAAGGATGTTTAACCTGTGGGTACGGAGGTATGGCCTGCGAATGAGTCTGTCAGTTCTCCCCGGGTTGCTTCAGCCCATGACCTGCCCTACCCTTGCGTGATCACCAGTCACGTGTGATGTTGTCAGCATGTGACATGTGTTACCTCATGTGGGTTTCACATCACCCATGGCAGTCCACTGGCTCCCGAAAGGCCTTGCACCTGGCGAGAGGCAGGGACAGGTCAGGCCCAGGCAAGCCACCCACGGAACTCTTCCTTCCAACCTGGGGTAACGCTCTTCTTAGGAGGTGTCATGGATTATCCCACCTGTGGCATACTTTTCGTTTTCTCCGATATTCGTCCTCCTTTTCCACAGATAATAAAGTTTTAGCTGGCACACGTCTGCACGGCTGAAAGCCACCTTCCCAAGCCTCCCTGGCAGCAAGGGGCTAATGGGACGTGTGCAGAGTGATGCGATCCACTCCCCAGCCTCTCCTTCAGGAAGCTGGGGTCGCGGTCCCAGCAGGCAGGGCCGCGGTGAGGACCAGAGCAGCCGCCCAGGGACAGAAGCCATGATTGTAGAGTGACAGCTGTGCCACAAGCTGGAATCTGCCACCCTCGACTCTTACATGTACTAGAAATAGACTTACATCATGTTATATTTGGGGGGAAGAGGAAGCTAGACCTGTCCCCCAGGGAGCTTGTAATAGATAAGGTGTCCGACGCACACACCTATCCAGGGTTACCCCTTTTCCACATGGCAGAACTGGAGTTTGAACTCAGAGTTCATCTTCCCAAAGCAGGCGGCTGGCTTCATAGGGTCCTCCCTCTCTCCAGGCTGGACTGGCTGGACCGGCTGCAGGATGCCCCTCTGGGAGGCACTGCATGACAGGATCCCCCTTCTTTGTCTTGGATTCTGGATGATAGTCCTTTGTAATATAGGGGACTGTGTGAACAGGCTTGTACGTCCATACCCAAGTGGGAGCACAGATGCAGCATCCCTGAGCCAGACTTGGCAGTGGTGCCATCAGGGACATTCTCCTGGGGGAGGGGACCTGGGGCAGGGTAGGGCAGGGCAGGCCCCCCACCCCCTGGCCCCGAGCTTTCCTCTGGCACAGAAGGTCCACATTGAGCTGCCTGGAATGGTGGGTGCAGGAGGGGCATGCCAAAGTGTGCTCTAATAAATGGGCCAGGTGGCCCAGGTCACACAAACTTTTTAAACCAGCACTGGAGTGCCAGACCAGGGCTTCAAACCAGTGTTTCCCAGTTCAGTCATGGCCAAGGAAGTGAAACCAGAACAGACTCGAATTTTGAAAATTTGGGAGTTCCAGAATGGTAATCAGAACAGGAAAAATTACAGGTCTATACCCTGCTGGAAACCTAATCTCCCTCCTAGACAAGGGCAGCATATGCGGGAAACAGCAGTGCCCATGGCTGCGACCTGGATGTTGCTCTCCAGTCCTGCCAATAATCCAGTCTGACGCATCAGGCTCCTGAAGGGGCCCACTGTGCCTCCTCCAAGGCTTCGACCCATAATTTTTACCATTGCAATTACTGCTCTGGAGCACCTACACTGTAAAAATTCGGGTCTGTTCCGGTTTCGTTTCTGGGCCATGACTGGATCGGCGGGAAGGTCTGTTCCAGACGCAATGCCGGCCTTGCCCTGGGTTAGAGGGAACGAGCAAAGGCGACCGGAGCCGACCTGGGACACCAGGGAGGGGTCCGGCGTGGGGGGGGGGGAGCGTGCATGACCGCGAGAGGAGGTGGCCGGCAGAGGAACAGAGTGCCAGTGACAGAAAGGAGAGACTGGCGTGCGTGTGTGCCGAGAAAGCGCCGCCCAGAGACGAGAATGGGCGCAGGCTGGGGAATGGGCGGAACCCGAGGAGGGGGAGGGGCACAGCGTCAGAGCTGCGGGGAGGGAGTGGGGGGCCCTGTTGGGGGGCAGGGGACATAGAGGGAAACGGACTGGCGAGGCGCTGAGACCCCGCAGCGCAGGGCTGGGGGCAGTCATGCGGACGGGAGGGGGGCGCTCGCTGCTGCTGCGGCCCCGCCCGCCCCCAGGCCGGCCTCTGCGCAGCTCCAGAAATAAAGCGCTTTATTTACACCAGAGGGTCCAGGTCACGCTCCTTGCGCCCCAGCGCGCGCCGGCCGGGGGAGAGGGACCGGGAGGCGTAGCCGAGGGTCCTGAGTGGGCTGGCGGAGCCAGGGAGAAGGCACGAGGATTTGGGCCTGCCTGCGGCCTGGGAAGGCAGCGAGAGAGTGGTCAGCTCCCGGGGCTCTGGCCAAGGTCGGCGTCGCTGCAGCTCTGTTCGTAGGATGGCGGGGCTTCTGTGGGGAGAGAGTGAGGTCTGCACGGGGCTCGGGAGGCTCCTCTGCCCGGTACGCGCCCTGCGCCCGACTCACCATGGGGGTAGCCCCACGAGCTGTACGCCGGGGGTGGGATCAGGGTGCTGGTGGCAGGCACCGGCCCCCCGGGACCGTCCGCGAAGTAGGAGACCGTAGCACCCGTGGAGATGCACAAGGGAGGAGGCAGGGTGTGGGACGCAGGGCTGCGGTCCTGAGCACAGGGTTCGGGGGCGCCAGACGCGGCACTGAAGGTGGCAGGCAGCGGTGGCTGCCAGTGGCTCTTGGTAGCCAGGGCGACGACGGGGTCCATGAAATGAGGGGCGCCGGCCACAGCCTCGGCCTCCACTTCCTCCTGGGGCGGCGCCGAGGGCACCCCCTGAGACGGCGGGGACGCCAAGCCTGGCAGGGCCCTCAACGGGGTGTGGTTCACAGCTATATTACCGATGAAGACTGGGAGGGTCACAGTGGCCTCGGGGGCCTTCAGGGAGACCTGGAGGGAGAAGGGCGGTAAGTGGCTGAGGCCAGGGGTTGTGTCCATCCGCTAACGTCAAGCCCCTGCCGTCACAGCCTGGCACCTGCAGATAGTAGTCCACGTGGATGAGGCTGCAGCCCGGCAGAGCCGACTGGGGCAGTGCCGGCACCAGGATCTGCTCCTTCCACTCGGAGCGCCTCCAAGCCTTAGCCCCGGCACCTTCCACCTCCACAATGGTCCGCAGGTCATAGATCCAGCGCTTGGCCTTGTAGGACACTTTCTGGGGAGGATCAGCCTGTCAGCTTGCAGGGCCACCACCGACCCCCCCACCCGACCCCAGGACAGCCCCCACCAAGGTGGCCAGTGTGGGCTCTGACCTGCAGCAGACTGGCCACCACAGGGCCTGTGTCCTTCCCCGACTGGTTCTCGATGTCAGCCTGCAGCTGCAACACCTGACCTACCACGTAGCCTCGGAGGTCGGTGCTGGCCGTGAGGACTATGCTCCCTGTCTTCACCAGCTTGTAGGAGAACTTCTTGGTGACCGAGGCCACGTTGGGTTGCTTGGGAGGGAGAGTGGGGAGCGTTCCGTGAGTGGGCGGGCTGGGGCCACTCAGCCTTGCGACGCCCCCGCCCTGCTCTGGACACCAGCACGGCCAGCTCCGGACAGAACTGCTGCCCTTCCAGGCCCCGGCTGCCTTCCTCGGTCAGCAGCTGTGCCTGCCCCATTCCTCCCTCACCTCGATGTCAGGGACGCTGTTCAGGTTCAGCGGGCTTAAGATGTAGAACACACGGCCGCACTTGTGGTCCTTAGAGAAGCGAGGCGTGTCAATGGTGGCCCGCACCTGGTGCACGATCTTCCCGAAAGGCCCCTCAAAGGACGTGGGTGCTGTGGCTAGGGGTGGAGAGTCCACACTGGCACCAGACTGCCTCCTGTCCGACAGGCCCCCTCCCAGGACCCACTTCGTCACCCCCAGGCCCCTGGCCAGGCTGGGCTCTCACCAGGAAGCAGGAACTGGAAGGGGAAGTTGTGCTCGCCAGCGGGCAGGCTCCCTGCAGAGACAGGACAGAGGGGTGGCGGGGAAGGAGCCACAGGCCCAGGCTGGCCCTTCCTCCCAGCCAGGGCAGGGCCCCCTCAGAGGGCCAGCAGCAGACATGTGCCCTTCTCACTGCCGTTGTGAGCTGCACACCTGCCTTCAGAGCACAAAGTGAGGGGCCGTGGCCCAAGCAACAAACAAGGGACGAAAGCTTGGGGTGACCAGGACAGTGTCTGGGGGTGAATCAGACTGCACCAGGGGTCAGAGCTCTGGAGTGACCAGCACCTTTGGAATCTGCACCCTGAATCTAGTCCCAGGGGAAGCTGGCCCCTTCAGCCACCCAGTCCCAAGCCAGGGCTGCCCCCAGACTCACCCTTGTCTGCCAGCGACAGGGAGCTGTTGAAGTAGCCCTCCTCCACCACCCACGTGGCATCATTGATCTTGTTGGAGACCCCGCAGGACCCTGTGCAGGTCACCCGGATGGCTGCAACAGGAAATGGCCATGAGCCCCAGCCACCAGCCTGGGCCTGTCTCCACCGTGGCATGGGAGTCCAGGCAGGCGGGCAGCACCCTAGAGCTAGGCAGCCCCCCTTCCTCCTGGGGTGCTCCTAAGGAGCAGCGGTGGCAAGGGACCTGAGGGACAGTTATGTCTGTCCTGTAGTCCAGCGCAGGAGGGGCCTGGACAGCCACTGAGATGCCCCCGGTGCGACCCCACACCTGATGGTCTTGGCTCCCAGCCATATCTAGACGCCCTCGACCTGTGAAAACCCAACTGCCCTCTGGGGTGCTTGAGGCACAGCTGACCCTGACCCCACCTTGCTGCTGCCTCACAGATGAGTCAGTTCAGTCAGGCTGGGAGGTCCCCCTCCCCTGCAGGAAGCTGCCAGCCCTCCTGCTGCAGGAATGTGGTCAGACCTGCCTGGACAGATGCTGGTCCTCAGCCATCTAGCCACCCTGACTTCCTGGACAGTACTGCCCAGGAGGGCCGACTTCCCACCTCATGGATGATTCGGTTCTCAGCCCTGCCACCGCTGGGGAAGGGCCCAGGGGCCAGTCATTACAGGGCTACACAGGACCGCTGCTCTGTGGTCAGGGCCTCGAATTCCTCCATCCGGCAGATGTGCGCTAGGGCCCACTGGGGTCAGCAGGCCGAGACTGGACAAGGGAGAAGGGACCCAAGGGAAACACAGCCGGAGCTCCGGGTGGGGCCCTTCCACCCACTCTCCCCCAGGCAGCGCTCAGTCAAGTCCAAAGACTTCAGCCTCCCTGCCCCAGCCCTTCTCCGGGACTTGACGGGTCAGGTCAGGGGAAGGTGACTAGACCGACACCCTTCTGACAGAGCTACCAGGCAGAAAGGTCACGGGTGTCCCAAGTGCTCAGGACCGGGAGTCAGCCTTCCCACAACCTCCCAGCCAGGCCTTACCCGGCCTCCCAGGCCTCCAGTCAGTCACCAACCCAGGCTTCCTCTCACCCGGCTGCATCCACAACCCTTGGTTTATCCTCAGCCCCCAGGGGGCTCTCCACCCCATGCGCCTGCCACACCTAAGCCCCCAACCCAAAGAAAGACCCTGACTTCCCACTGCACCGCCCTCTGCCTCTCCTTGGTGCCGCCAGGGGCAGGCCTCGGCCTCCTCTCCAGCCCAGCCCCACCACCCAACCTCAACCCTGATTTTGAATCCACTCTCCTTCAGCCATCCCCTCCCAGGGGGATGCCTGGAACTGTTCCCACCCTGGAAATCTGGAGCACCAGGCCCACTCTGACAAACGGGCAGCCCAGGAGAAAGACGGGCAGGCGCAGACAGGCAGCTCCAAAGGAGACGAGAGGACTGGAGATGATGCCTGTCTCCGACAGTCCCCCATTGAGAGGTCAGACCCTGTGCACCTGGATGGCTTGCGCCTGCTGAGACCCACAGAGACCAGCCCAGGGCCAGCTTTATGCCGTCAAGCAACCGTGTCGATGGCATACGGTGCTGAAAAGCCACCAGCCCACCATGTGCAAATGCCTCACCCACAACATCATGAGATGCCAGAGAGTGTGTGTTCTAGCCTCCTGGTCTAGGGGTGACTTGTTACTTAGCGATGACTCTTAGGCGGCATTAGGTAACTGGAGCGGGTGTCCAGCCTCACTGGGAATCCGGGAAAACTCAAATAGCTTACCACTTTAACCCATCAGATTGTCAAAAGTTAAGTATTTTATAAAGCCTAAAAC